CGCTTCATCGCTTCTCATAAATCGAATTTCTCAAATATTTTTTTAGATGTCATAACATGAAAATTAGAATTTGTTTCGTCTTTTGACCTTGTATTTCTTTTCAAGCAGGTGGGGTGGGTATATATAGCAGATATGATCAAAGAGATTGAGGAAAGAAAAGGATTACATGGGATTTGAGAACATTTGTACATATGATGCCTAGTCTAAAAGTTCTCAACTTTCTAAATGCAAAAATCCAGACTTTTACCTTTTGCTTTTATCAACTTCTTGAAGTAAATGCGACTGATTTCAAGATACTTATCAAAACCCCAAAACCCTTCTCCAAAACCTTCAATTCTTCACTTCCAGAGCCAATTCTTCAAAATTCTTTCTTAGGTGGCACGATCTCAACCGCCGTTTTCAGTCTCTTCTTCAGAGTCTCAGCCAACGCTTTAGCGTCCATTGTTCCTGTAACAGTCACCAGCTCTTCCTGCATGTCCACTTTCACACTGAACACTCTTGTAATTAAGCAAGCAACGTTAAATTATATACATGGCCAACATAATACGGAGACATTGACTACGACGCCGTAACAGTAACGGCACCGAACATGAGTAGCAATGATCATTCACTCAAACTCACCTTTGGTTTTTTGCACAAGCTTTTTAATCTTACGGGCGCAACCCTCGCAGTGAAGAGCCAACTTCAAGAACGCGATGGTCACCGGAGGCTGTAATTATTTGGTGTTAATAATATAAGAGTAATTATCCTCTTTGTTAATCAATTAATTCATAATGAAGAATGTTTAGAAGTTATTTATCATAATGTGGCCGGAAATGGCCAGATCATGCTAGATCTAGTAGTCGGCCGTTGAAGGCCGAATTCGTTGATCTAGCCGTCAACGGCCAAATTGATGGCTGTTAACGGCCATGTCTGTGGTCGTCAAAGACCATCGATCCGGCCGTTGACGCCAAATCCATCATTGATATGGCCGTCGACAGCCAGATCTATCACGTTTAGCCATTTTTTGCCAGATTTTTGGCCAGAAATGGCAATACAGCTCACGGTGGTCATTTCCTGCCTTCCGTGCACCTTTAAGTTGTCGGCTATCAGTGGCTTGTGATGGTTGCCAACGGTCAGTAGTGGTTAGGTATTACTGTATGTCCGTACCGTTTGAAAATGCTAAACAAAAAACAGTAATACTACTACATGTCACAATTAATTGGAAGGTGAGGTAACTGGTTTAATTAAGTATTTAATGTAGTTAATGACGTCATATTGTGAGTATTAGAAGGTGACTGATTTAATTAATTGGATTATAAATCTATGAAAAGGGCAAATTGTGATTTTACATCGTTATAACGAATTGTCTTAATTACAATTTTCAAAGTCGTTGATGGCTCACAGCATATCATATTTTCTTTTTCAGGATTCTCTTAAATTGAACTGCCACGTATAGATATTACAATCAATGCTCAATTTAGGTGCCCAATTCCATGGACGCCCAATTGATAAAATTGGCGTAAGCTTCCAACAAGATGAGTGGTTCAAAGAGGACGTGTCCTTAATTTTTTTTGTTTCTTTCTTGGAAACAAAGTCTGTCTAAGTCATCAACTAATTGGTATTTGAATAATAAAATTGTTATTCAATGGATGTATGAATAGAGTCATAATGGGAAATAGATATTTATAGGCGAGGGAGTGATTAAGGGTAAATTAATTAATTAAAGATTGTGATTACTGGAAAAGCCTCTAGTCGCTTTCCACTTGTAGAAATTTTCAGGATTTTATCTGCCAATTGAATGAAAGCTGAGTAGCAGTTGGTGTGGGCATACGTGGCTTCTTACCTGGAAACTGTTTTCAACACCCTCATAGCCCAAGTATTCAATCAACAAAGCCCTTTTGATTAAACTTTATAATAATGTTTGATTTACACAAAAATTTCTTGTACAAAGTAAGTGGTAAGAGGTTAATAAAAAAATGAATACAAAAAGTCAAACTCGTTATATTCATTCTTTTATTCATCTCCGATCACATCATTTTGTATAAAAAATCTTTGTAAATTTCTTTATATGTGTAATATTATCCTAAACTTTAATACCAAAACTTCATCTTCTTCTAATGGTGTATTGTTAACCATTTGACACAAGATTTGGAAGATCTATGACACAAATAGTCAAAACAAGTCATCTTAGCTATTTCATTCATTAATTCTCATAATCTTATCTTATTGGCTACATAAGATATAAATTACGCCCATTAATGAACAAGACAATGAAGATTTTTTCACTCAACTTCGTGGCTTTACATAATAGCTTAACCATATAAAATCTATATCAAAATGATTTTTTCATAATATAATGTCATCGGAACAAGTTAAAATAAGTAAGAAATTTTAAAGATGATTGGAAGGTTGCCTAGTATAGCTTAGGATCCTCTCTTAGATCTGAGTCTTACCTAAACAAAATTCACTGCTGTGATTGATGGTTAATAAAAAGTAAATTTAGGAAATAAATTTTATTCACAAATATTCTATTAATTATACATATCGCAACTTCATGTAACAAAGAATTTTAAAAATTTACTCAAATATGGTGAATATATAATATAACATAAGCGAAGTAAGACCATATTTCTAGAAATCTGATACCCTACTGAACCTGAAATAAAAATAAAAGTAAAGCGGAACACTATCATCCTTACGTAATATACAACTATTAATTTTTTTTGGCGTGTCCTTAATTTTTTTGTTCTTTCTTGGAAACATAGTTTGTCTAAGTCATCAAATCATTATTATCAAGATGCCATTTTGAAATCCCATACAATCTCTTTCGTTTCAATAATTTTGAACGCGTTAAATACGTTATTAATAAGCATACTTGTATTAAAGCTGCATTTATTACAATAGCTAAAGGATTTTTTCAATCCAAAAACAGTAATAATTTTCTTTCCGTAGATCTAGATATATATTTTATAATTATTGTCCATATAAATGACAATAACTTGAACATTGATTCCATTTGTTTAATTTTAAGAATAGTATTCTATTTCAAATATGATAAAATATAATTTAATCAAATAATATAAGATTATAAGAATGTGTTTGCTAATTTTTTAAAATATTTAGATTACTTTTTAATCTTTTATATTTGTTAATTTAGTTAAACACCTCCCACAATAAAAGTTTTAGTCATTAACGACAGCGGTGGTGGTCGGCTGTCGACAATCAGTTGAGTGGGTGGTTTTTTTTTTTTTTTTTTTTTCAATATACATATATTATTTTTATGTGAAAACAATTTTTAATATGGAGTTTATTCTTATTTATAGTTATCACAAGTTAGAATCATAACTTTTTATAATTATATAAATGTTATTTCTATATGGAAATGTAATTTCTATATAGAATATCAAGGTTTGCTGTACGTGATTCTTTGCTTCCTTCCCGGTTATGTTGAGACATGAGATCTGAAATTAAAACACACAGAAATTGCCGGCTGTTTTACATTACACCAATCGAGAACCAATAGACCAATTAAAGAAAGACTAATAATTATAATAAAATATATATGGATTGTCGTAAAAATAAAAATAAATAGAAAATGAATTCATAAATGAAAAGGCGTAAATAACATGCATATAATAATGTTTAGAAAGGAGTAAAAACGTTTTTCATGTTAGAAAGAATGTTTAGCGTAATGTGTGGAGTGGTGGAGCCGAGGAAAGAAAGCAAAAGTGTGATGAAAAACAAAACAGAAAGACAGAGATCATTACGAATGAAAAAATGGGTACTAGTAAGGGTAGAAGGTATTAGAGAACACATTGTTATTAAAATAAACATTCTGTGGGAGTTCTGTTCTCCTCTTGCATCAGTCCAGTTGATCAATATGCCACTTTGCATAAAATGAGGCCTGATTGCTGGTGATACGGTATTAAATATTAGTGTTTCTCCTAATTGTAAGAAATGAAGATCAGAACCAGGTGTTTGAATTGTGGAATTCCTAATCACATTAATCTCTCAAATATATCAAAGTCGTTCATTGTCAATGTCTTCTTGGCTGATAGAATTGAATGTAAAGGGAAAAGAACTAGAATCATCTTCCTGTTGGTTTGCCTATTCTACACATACTGATATCAAAAGCCGTTCGATGCTTTCTTTTCAGATCGGCAAGAGTTCATTGCTTTGCTATGGTGCAATTTCAACTTCAAATCAGTATTTCTCCTCCAGGATTCAGTTTACACAATTCTTATGAATTTTCTGTCAAAGTCATCTAAGCAATTGTTGAACTTCCTAGGATAGAGGATATCTCTGTAGTGTGGAGTGGTCTTCATTTAAGGCTAGGGAGCCTTTATATGCGTCATGCTTGAGGGCAGTGGAGCATCTATCAGTGAAAAACTAATACTGATTGGCTAACTTTACATTGCTATCCTCTCAGGAACCTAGTTCATTTTTGCTGAGTGGCAGATCTATTGGGACGAATAGGGACGATTGGGGAATACTTGAGTATGATGGGTGCTATGATAAGATTCTTGTTTTACTACATTTCCATTTTGTGTTAGCATTTCCAATTTCAAGACCTTGGTGTAAAGTTAGTGATGTAGAACAAGGGGCAAGGAAATCACTAGCTTTGGGCAAATTGTCTTGCATGCTCAAAAATGTGTTATGAGAATGCAGGTTACTGAGGAGGATGTGTGGGAAGAAAAGCAAGGATACTGTTAAATGTTAATCATTTGTTAGAAGTTGTGGTTAGGCAATGAGTTAATTGAGATTAGCGAAAAAGGGGCGTTTTGTTTATAATAGGTTTCAGAGACGATGAACAAGACTATGCCTTTAATTTGGCCTTCATAGTTGATACAGAATCATAAATTTATTGCAGTGTACTAGGTGCACTTAGAAAATGTATAACAAAGTTTGATCTTTTGAGAAAGAGTTTGAATGTTAAGTTTTAGAGCAATACAGAAGCATACCAGTGAAGGATCATCCTTAAAAAGGATGCAAAGAGAGATTTCATTAAGTACTGTGACATCTAAATTAAGCATCTTCCTATACAGCCTAAACAAGAGAGAATAAAGATGTAGAGGTGAAGATTTTTCCCATAATAATAACTACGCTATCAATTTGTGCAAAACAAACAGATCAGTAGAGTATAATATCACACTTTTGCAACATGAAGTGCTCTCTGTCCTTTCTTGTAGTATCCCTGGTATATATCAGGGTACCCTTTCACATTCTTGAATATTCTTGGTGTTTCTTCATTGATTAATCCATCTTCTGGTCCAATCTCTTTGTTCGCTTCAGGTGAATAGAAAACAGCGATGGAAATCCTCTCCCTTTCCGAGCTGGTCACCACCCTCTGCACTGGGCTCTTGAATATCCCATTAGTCATTATCTGCAAGTCATTGGCTAGCTAGTTACAAAATGTGACAACATATCATCTCCAGATATATATGATCTTCATAAATGTATCTCTCCAATTTCTACTCATTGTTTGAGAATTTTGATGGAGCAGATTCTTTAAGAAATGTTCTGCAGACCATTCATTTTTTATGCGCTTGCAGTTCATAGTACTCGAATTGGAAGCGCTGTGCAACTTTGAAAGCAGCAGCTCACTGATACAAACTCATTATGTTGTGTGTAAGGTAATATATGAAACGGCAACTTTAGATTATGAAACAAGTTAACAGAAATATATAACTCCATTTGATCGCCCATGAGGACTAGGAGAGCTTCAGTGATTTTAGGTACTGTAAACCAGTGCTCATCTTTGAGGACTTGAAGACCTTCTTCATCCATCAGTATAATAGTGAATCCAGACACATCTGAATGTGGTTTTAAGCCTAGAACAAGATCAGGTCTTTGGCAACGTGAGTAGTAGTTAAACCTTGCTTTGTGCTGTGCTCTTTGGCCAAACTGTGTCAAGAAGCAATTTTCTTCTATGTTTAATGACTTTGCCATTGCTTTGGAAGTGAGCTCTGTCACCTTTTTCATCTTTATAGAGTATTCTTCTAATATACCTCAGCGCATTTGTAATTTGTAATGGTTCATACATGACAAAAATAGCAAAACAATCAAGAATTTGGATGAGCAAAAAAATTCAGAAATTTTCTAATGTCATCTTGATATGTTTATTTAGCCACCTGAGACATGGGGAGCATGAAAGCACCTGAAAGATTCTGGTTTTTCTGGCCATAATTCAGGATTTCTCCGATCTTCTGGGTATACATCAAGGAAGAGCCTATAAAACAAATCCAAGAATTGACCTTCTTCAGGTACAGGGTCAGCTCCATAGCCTTCGAAATCTTCAACTCCTTTCGCTTGCTTCTTCTTCTCTTCCATGGGCTGTTCGAAGGATTCCCTTGAAACTTCGCGAAATTTATCTAGAAATGTACTAGAAATCCCATGACTTACTTCCTGAAAATGCATAAAAAAAATTACAAGAACTTATAGATTATTGTATCATAGAATAAACATATATATATGTAATTAGACTTGGCCTTTTTAACTCAGGAAAAACTAGTTTACTTCTTCATTAAGTTAAGAATTTTGAACCTGAAAGCAACCCCATGAGCAAAGTGCTGATTTCAGCTTCTGCAGTTCTTCCTCTTGCTCCATACCAGGCCTTTTTTTTTTTTTTTTTTTTTTTACATAACCTTATTCTTAATTTTCATAATCATTTTTGTGCAAAAATATTTTAGAATAATTTTTTATTACATTCTTGTTATTTTATTCAGATGATTGGAAAATGTCACAAGCAAATTTTGGTTTGTAGAGTATTTAATGGATCTCGATGATTAATTGAATGTATGCAAGTTAGCTCAGATACCTAATTACCAAAAAAAAAAAAAAAAAAAAAAAAAAGAAGAAGAAGAAGTTGAATCGAAGCCATGTAATTGTATTATATCGTTTCCTGGTGTGTGCCAAAGTTTTTTTACCAAATATTTTGATGTAAAATCCAAGTTACATGTTGAGATGCACTGTGTTATATTCGGTCCACTAATTGATAAGAGCGATAATTTGATGTGTGAAGTCTTACAGGTGACCTAAACCTAATAAATTGGATATCTCCAATTAAATAAAATAACATTAAAGTAGGGTGGATGATAATCTACTATAAATCTTCGCATTAAGTCCTCTTATTACATTAACATCCGTTTGACCCTTACAAGAAGATGGGTCTGGTGAGGGAGCTGGGTTTTGGATAGTTGGTTGTTTATTTATGGAAATGGGCTATGGGAATGGCATCTCCTTGGGCTTGGATTTAATGGAGTTGGGTTGGGATTGTAAGAAGATGGCTTGGGAGGTGTTTTTTCAATTTTATATTATCCATATCATACAATTAGACGCAAAGCGTGAAAAGCTAGAACACCTAATTTGTTCATATTTCTGACTATTTTTTTATACTTTTGGAAGATTTTGACTAGTCAACCTAATACAGCTGGTTTTGCAATTATTGAATTAAATTTCGTGGGATGATTTGCCCCACTAAAAGGAAATCAATAACTTCCTCCCTTAGTTATATCTAGATCAACATATAAGGTTCCTTCTCCAATCTTCTTTTTCTTCTATGCCTTATTCTCCTCCATTTTACCTTTTCTCTTTCATCATGTAACTTTTCCACCGACCCTTTTCGTCTTCTCCATTTCTTCTTCTTCAGTACTTTTCTCTTTGTTTTTTATCGTCTTCTCTTCCAGATCTTGATAATATTCTGGACCTGGACCAAGAAATATAATCTTAATATCCGGTAAGCAAACCCACATGCATGAGACAACATCACTAATTGAACTCATCTGTTTTTAACTCAACTCAACTCATGTTAAGAATTTCCACTTCAAATTTAGTCTGGACATGGTTGTTGAGCTCATGTTTTTCTCCTTGTTGGCATATCTTCTGTTATACAAGTCTCCTTCATGGTTGAGCCAATGTTCTGCAGCCTTGTATTCATTTCCCTGCAAATGATCAAAACTTAAAATGTAAGCCTATGTATCTTTGCCTTAAAAAGGCCAAAGCCGAGGCATGACCAAGGCCAAAGCTAAGGCATGACCAAGCAGCCCCTCAGTTGCTTGTTGCTTGCGGAAACACTGCCCATCATGGGGTTTGCTGACTGATTTTGCTGCCCATGGATGCCAAGACATGGCCAAGGTCAAGCCAAGTCCTTACTAGTGAATTGATGAGCTCATCATCACATTGTCCTCTGCGGTAAGGAAACGACTGCGTTTCTATGAAACTCTCTGGATTGTTATTTGAACAGGGGAGGAGGAAATGAGAGCTGGGGACAGGAAGAGGAGCTTGAAGAGGAAGAAACAGGAGGGATTGGCATTTTCATTTTCCCTCTTCTTCACTAAACAGTAGAGAGAGAAAGAAGTGGAGAGTGGTGAGAAATTAGGTCTGGGGGTATATTATATATAGAGTATTCTAAAGGCGTGCGTGATTAAAGTAAACATGTGGGTCCTCGTTGCTACCTAATTTCAGGGTTTGCGGGATTCCAGCTGTTGAGTTTTGGTGGTTAGGTGAAAACCTGTCAAAATCTAATTGATAATAATTATCATAACATAAACTTTATTGGGTCGTCAGCTCAACTGCCCATTAGAGTGCCACAAATTCAATTCAAACTATAATAAACACCATTTGATCTATCATTTTGTAGAGTAAGGACCCAATCTATTCATTATTACTTGGATTAATATTCTAACCTTAAATATTTATTCCACCAAATATTATGGTGGAATAAAAAGAATTTAGCTTTATTTTTTGATTATGTGATTAGTATTAACCTTAAACCGGAAACAATTTCTAGAAGGAAAATTTGTTAGATAGGAAATTGACCTGTTTGGGTTCGGTGTTGGTTATCTTTGTCCTTCGAGAATTCGTCGAATATTGAGTCCAAAGAATGTTACGACCAATTATTCAATTATTTGTTGAATAGTAGTAATTTGACTTTAAAAAAAACTAAAAAAGAACTATTATAACCAGCAATTATTCAATTGTGCTCTCACGCTTGGAGCTTTTAGAAGACGCCATGCAATTGGGTGGGTCCATGCATCCATGTGCCTAAGAGTGTTGCCAAATCTGTGAGATTAATATTAATATTGGATCCATCCATTTATGTTGGTAGTAACTTCACTTTACAAAAAGGACAAGGCTAAAATATTAAGACTTACCAGGACAGTGGTCTCTGGCTGCAAGAGCCAAGATATCAGCACAGGATACTGTCTGAGGACATTCCTTCTCAAGTGCAGACTTGATCTCATCCAGGACTTCAAATCCCCTAGCTGAATCCCGGTTAGGATTGGACCTTTTCTCACTAATCATGGTGCCACTGCTATCTAACAATAGTGATGCATCACACCCCTATAAAAATTGACCAGACAGTGTGAAGTACAATTCATACATGGGAAATGAAGTTGTGAAATTTTTATGAATGAATTTAAGAAAATGAAATGAGAGTTTTGGGGAAGTAGCAGAACTTCACAAAACAGTCATGGAAATGGAGCCTCAGCAAAGAAGCAGCCATGCGGGTTTCTTTTGCAACAGCCTTAGCCACAATGGACTTCAATGTAACTTTGTTTCTTTGTTTCTTAGAGAACAAGTGAGAGAGCCCATCAATGACACTAATAAGAGTTCCTTCTGTACATCTGGCTCTTATTAGAGTATTGATGAACTCCTGATCACATGTTCCTCTGCCGTGGGGGCAACGACTGCCTTTCCAGGAAGCGCTCTGGACAGTAGAGAGAGAAAGAGTAATAAGGAAGAAAGAGGAGAGTGGTGAGAAATTAGAACCGGAAAGGGGTTTATATAGTTTACACTAAAGGGGGTTTATATAGTAATAAGAGAAGAAAGGAGGGGTAATATTAATTACTAAATGTGCTGAAGATCACGTATCCGACGTACATGAGGAAATAAAACTTTGGGTTTTATAAATTCTTTAAATTATTCAAAATTAACTCAATAACTAACCAAATTTATCAAATCTAACTTAAAACAATAGCTAATTAACCCATACCTTATAATAAACAAAATTAAATCAAAACCTATATCAAAATCTAGGAATTTAATCTTCCAATTTCAAACTCATTTATTAAACTCAACAAAAACTCATCAATTAAGAAAGTTAGAAGAAAAAAATTAAAGTAAAATAAAATAAAAAATAAGCATCATCTTATCTTATAATCCAAAAGAATAGTCATATAAAATCAAAGGAAAAAGACAATATGAAAGGAAATGAAGAAGAAAAGAAAGTTAAAAAATTGTTAATTAATAATTCATTTTTGCAAAGTCAATATGAAGTTAAGTGGATCAAAATTTAAAATCTATAAAACATTAAGGATTTTTTGAAATATTTAAAACGTTAAGTGGGTCCAATTGAAGCTACAACTCTCTAAGTGGCTACGTCTTTGGGTATGACCACCGCCACATTCTTAAAGCAATCTAAACACGTAGCTAATTACATGAAATTCAAATATTCACTACTTGTTTTGGTTTGATGCATGAACCCGTATAATAACTTAAATCCATTAATTACCCAAAATTATGCTTATTTAATTTCCTCAATTAAATGCATGTATCTCTTCTTCTTTTACTTTTTAACTTTATTCCTCTAGTTTTATAGTTTAAATTAAGAGAAGAAAAAAACGATTGAATCGGCATTGTCAATTGATGGTACCTTACAAGTTTGTAACAATTGACATCACATTCTGCAGATTTTGGTCTCTGCAGTTAATTATAAAGCTAATTAGCTATTGATAATTAAGCCTTAGCTTGTCTGGAAAGGTAATTCAATCATTTTGAAGTTGAAATATAAGTACCAACATGGTACAATACAAGGCAAATATTATACTACAACTCCAATCATTTTGTTACTTATATTGCACCCATTTTGTGAAACAAATGGGTGCCCATCAATTGACCTCTAACTCTAAATGTAGAAGCACCAATTTTGAGATTCATAAGCCTCCAGCATACAAGTTAAAATTGTCATTTCCCTGAAATCAACAACCAAGTTATTTGTTGTGTAGAACCTTAAAGTTCAAGCCAAAGAAAAAGAAAAGAAACTTAAATATTGTAAGCAAACTCTATTGGATTTGTCAATTGAAAGAGAAGTTAATTAATTAACTTACAAATACATGATATTGATATTGGAGTTTTACTCAACACCAAACCTTACGTAGTCTCTAATAGTATTCAAACCACATGATCTTGGAACAATGTTATGACCTTATAAATTGAACAAGATGGGTATATATAAAGGGTATTAAATAAACATGTGGGTTCTCTGTGCTTGGTGGATTCCACCAGTTACGTAGGGAAATAAGGGTTAATTTAATTTAAACAATTGACAGGGATTTGAAAAAATAATGAAGACGCGCGAAGGAGTGGCGGGACTTTGATTTTCTGTTGCAAAAGTCAATTCAAGGGCCGTTGTTCAATATAAGTAAACATTAAGCAAACTAAATCTTTTTCTCAAAGTCCTTCTTACAATCATAAATCTTTTAAATCTCTATTTTTGATGTATAAAGGAATAAAGCATCCAAAAGGATAATATAAATAAATTATTAATAATTAATTCAAACTTGGCTTCTTAATCAAATCAAATCATTAAAATTTAATAACGCAATATAGATAA